TAATGTTTTAGTTTTAGTTCTTTTTTTCTTAAAAAAAATTCTTTTTATTATCCTGAAAATATATAATATTAACTAAACTATATATTAAATATATTTTTTTTTATATTTTTGTGATATTAAGATTAAAAAATCTACAACTATAATTATAAACACAATTCAACTCTCTCAAATAGATAGCTGTCTCAGAACTGGGGTGGATGAATGATGACTAAATTTCATAGAGCATCAAATATATATTTATAGGTGGTGTTATTATCATACCCTAAATGGTTAATGTTATATATTTTTATTTTAATTGATTATTATACCATTTAATTTATTAAAAAATAAAAAATTTAAATTTTTAAAAAAGAGTGTGATGTAAAGGTTTAATAAACAATTACATTAAAAAAATGTGATATTAACTATTTAAGTTGTGACAATAACCACATCTTATATTTATCTAGATATAATATTTGCAAGCACAAACTCTAAGAGTTGTATTACTAGTAAACAAGTATCATCTTATAAATTAGGTTAAATACTAAATTTAGTCCCTCAACTTTAAGAAATGAACATTTTTGATCCCTTAACAAATTTTTGCACTTTTTTGATCCCTCAACTATAAGAAATGCACTCCGTTAGTCCTTCTGTTAATTTGAGCAGTTAACTTCACTTATGTGGCATTTTTTATATTTTTTTTGATGATGTGGAGAGCAAAATTTAGAAAAGTGATGACATGGACAAATATTTTGACATGTCATGTTGCTATATGCCAAATCTATTCAAATGGGACCCACATCACTAATAAAGAAATTTGTGTTTGGTTGACGTGGCAACAAATTTATTTAAATGGGTCCCACATCACTAATAATTCGAATAAAACATAATATCAAATTAAATTTTATTGATTAATTATCCTTAAATTATAATTATTTATATTAATTAAAATTAAAATTCTAAATTAATTTATAATTAAACCACAATTTTTTCACCAAATTTTCTTGGCATAAATATGACATAAGGACCCAAACTTATACAAAATTCGCAATGTTGGACCCATACTTCAATTGTACTCAATTAAGGTCCCGAACTCTGCGAAATTCTCAAATAAGGTCTCAATTGGACGGAAAACTAACTTCCGTCAAATCTAACAAACACCGTTAATGACTTCTTGACGCAGTTTGTCATCGGCTTCCGTTGTGCCGGTTGTGGCGTTGCACCTGCAGGTCCTGCACGCCTTTGCATGTTTTTTTTTTCCTTTACTCCATTTGTTTTTAGCAATAATATTTTTTATTAATTAATTATTTTTTAAATTAATGAATTAATATTATATA